AAAAAAAACGTTGCTTGAAAGACGAAATATAAACTGAACTATCCGAGTATTATGAACCTAGATACTCGAAACCAACTCGATAACAGAGGCCGACCGACGACCGAAAACGACCCAGTGATCGTTTCTTTCCACTGAAAAATGAATTTTGCCGCCATTCCCGCAAATCATTTTATCAGTTTGATTTTAACGCATTTGTCAGATTTGTAGCAATTTGCAGCAATCTCTTCTCCCCTTGCCGTGTCTTCTAATTACTTCTGTGGAATTGATCAAACTTTTACTGATCCAGGCCTACAAAAGATCCAGCACTCGTCACTGGCTTGTAAGGAAATGTTTTCGTTGGATTCCTAGACTCCACCCACATCACCGGTCATTTTGGATTTGTGTTTGAGGAAATATCTCGGTCAGGGAAATCACGGGATTATCGTGACACGATCGTTTTCGAAAAGCTCCGCTTTCAACATGTTTTATGTACACAAGAAACCCAGCGTTTTCAAAATCTTCTGGTTTGTAGAGCGTTTTCGAAAACTGCCTCCATTTTCAGAAGGCCTAACCGTAGAAATAAAGCTGCGTTTTTAAATTTCTTCGGCGAAGTGTTGACGCTGCTTTAAACAGCCGGGATAAATTAGCCTTAAGCTATAGGGCTTGGCACAATAAAAGAACCATTCAAAATTAATTTCGCATTTGCATGGCAGTTAGACATGTAAATTTGCGAAACTAATCAGCGGGCCGTTGCTGTAGTTGCAAGCTATTGGCAGGTGAAACAAGCCGCGATAACAAGAATAGATATCTTTGGGCAATAGTTTGAATCCCTTCGGAGATCAGAACGGTAGAATCGACAACAAAGGTCAGAGAGGCCTGTAAAAGACGAGAACAAGAACTCTTTGCCGATCAGTGTACCCGAGAGACGAAAGTTTAATAACGCCAAACTGCTGAAAGAATGGCTGTTGTATTACTTCACCTGTTTTACGTCGGTGGCTTAGCGACCAACGGTTATTTATTTTTTCGACTGTGCAAATCTTGTTCGGCATCAAACCGCTTTGACACCGTCGCAAGAGTTCAATTACTTCTAAACATTTGCAACATTATAACGCACGCCATGCTTGAGGTCTCGAAGCAACATCTTTGGCGAACATTTTCGGCAGGTTCTTCGTTCCTCTCAATTTATCTCCTTGCAGCGTTGATGGTGTCGATAGCTGCTGGAAGACATCTTCGAGAACGATTCAACTCAAAGCTGAACATTGTCATTTTAATATTGATATCGTCCGGCTTGTTTGCTAAGTTCGGTCGAAAGTTTGAAGTATGTGCGAGCGACAATTGCTTTAGCTTGAATCTCGCTTACACAGAAGACAGTACCGCCGTTTCTTCCACTGCTATAGCACACTTCTATCTTCCAACTGTGATTATCTTCTGTGCTTCATGGTATCATGGCCATCGCAAATACTTCTCAAAAACTGAAGAGCAACTCCCCACGCCAAGCTTTTCTGGCTATCTCGCTTGTCTGGGTTCGAGTAGTGCTGTTTGGCTGTTCATGGTTTATGGAATTCTCGTTGTGGATGGAATTTTGTATTTCAACGAAAACTATGAAATCACCCTGCCTAATCATCTCTGTCGAATTAGTTGCCTTGATGAGGATGTGTATCTACTCCTGTCTATTTTTCCAGTCTACATGGGCCATTTTATAAAGAAAAGAGAAGAAAAACCGCAGAAACAACTAGAGATTTGAAAGGAAAGCAAGACTGAGAGCCGCGTGCAATTGAGAGACTAGATATGCAAATGAATTCTAAAGCTCGTCCATAAATCGTGAGTTTTTACATGCTGAGTAAAATACTAAAATAATATCAGACACTACAGAACCAACAGCTCTTTCAGAACTTTGATCACATGTTCTATTAAGTGGAAACATGGCAAGAACGTTTTCAGTTTATTTTTGTGTAGCCGTAGCTAGAGGAAGTACCGACCTCAAGAGTCCTCATGGGCCCGAAGAGGATGAGTGAGTGTAGGACAAACTAGGTACACCTAGTTTGTCGATCCAGCGATTATTTTAACTGTCTAATTTCTCGCGCGCTGATTGACTCATTTTTATCATCAATAAGAGTACAGATAAAATTTAATTTATGCAAGCTTTCAAGTTCAACTTTCAGCTGTCAAACTGCCAACTTTTTAACCAATTAGATTTTATGAACTTTTTAAAGTAGCCAATCAAAAAGCGAGAAAAGCTATTGACAATGTTCGCGTTAGGCTCGATTACCAGCCTCTGTTCGGGAAAAGAGCCCGTGCTCCTCCCCAGAAGAAAGCGGCGGAAATCGAGCCTATGTTCGCGTCATTTTGAATAAAATTCACTTATCGTTGTTTACGGCAAGTTTACAGCGTGTTTTCCCCTCATTTATTCCCGGGATTTGACCGTTTTGGGGTCTTGTCTTGTATTGTAAAAAACAAATTGACGTCAGTTTTTTTACGCGCCTGTCCTCTTATTGATGATAAATTGCGTCATAAAATTGTGAAAGTGGCTGTGGAACCACGAGCTTGCGATTTGTTAACGCGATCACGCGTGGACGATACCACGCGCGAAAACGTCTTGCCCGCTTGAAGGTTTAAAATGGGATAAAAGTGTCTGGCATAAAATTGTGGTGACAATATTTACGCTTTCACTTTTTTTTCTCATTTATATGCTTTTAAAGGTTTGATATTAGCAGCTTGCTAAATCTTTTCAATTCCAGCGAATGCAAATTAAGAAAACCTGAACAACAACAAGAAAAACAGAAACAACTAAATATTAAATACTAAATATTGTGATATGTCATTAGCAAGCGGTCAGTTATCTGCAACTAATACAAAGTTTGCCCTCTACCGTGAAGCTTAATGACAAGCTCAAAAGCTGTATACCACGTCTAAGCCATTCTTAAAAGCTAGCACAGATTTGGCAGCAATTTTTAAAGGCGGAGGTGAAAGGCCCTTGAAATTTGCCAAACTAGCACGTAGCTTGTCCCTATCATCGCTGTTTAGATGCCACAACAGGCAAACTAAGTATGGAAGCAGGTTCTCTGACAATGCTAACTGTCTGTTATCTTCGATAGAAAGCATGTGGACCAGCGAAAAAATCCCGAGCCTTTGTGTTGCCATGGAACCAGGCCAGGGGGGTTGGTCACTTCTGCTCGAACTCTCACTGTGTCTGTCTGATGCCGCTGACTTTTCGCCATCTGTAGACGCTTCAAGCGTTGTAGTGGATTCCAAAGGTTGAGTGCTTTGAATTGCACATTGACTTTCGACGTTTGTGCTCTTCCAGATGGCTTGGTCAGCAGGATTTTTCCATTTCTTTCCTACAGCAAAAGCAAGGTGAACGAGTGGCACCATTGTGACCCAAACAAAACTCAGAGACTCTTCCCATTGTGAGATTTGACTGGGTATATGCTTTGCTAGGAACATGTCAATAAGTTGATCAACAGCAACACCAATGTCTCCATCAAGCGCTACAAGAGGAGACGAACGCATTCGAGCCAAGAACAGGCAACAGTAGTACCTAAAAAAAAAAACAACATTAGAGCGATTTTCAATTGAGTGTCGAAAAGTAATTGGTTCTCATTACTACGCTACACGATTGGCTTAAAAAAAACTCGCGCCAATTTGACATCCAATCAAAAGTAAATCCAAAACCAATCGCGACACGCTCGCGCACGTTTTCCCGCGCTTTGCTTTTTCTGATGTATTTGCGTCAAGTTTTGATTGGTTCTCTGGGATGTCTGCGTCCTTTGTGATAGGCCTTAATATAGCTTTTTACAACCAAAAAAATGATCACTGGTAAGATAGAACTCTGGGTGACGTTGAAAGATGTTGTGCAGCTCCGCTACTAGGGCACACAGACTGACGAGTCATTGCTACTGAAAAAGGCGCCAAAACTTGGCAAAGAAAAGTGTTGAAGCCTGTTGAAGCACATTATTTTAATTTTCCAAAGTACAAGCTGTGCAGGTTTGTAGTGGATCACTCAAATATCAAATGAAGGAGTACATGGAAAAAAGCCCTAACTGACCCTTGATTTAAAGTCAAATTCTCCTTTCTTCGTAGAAGAAATTAAGTGAAAAGCAATTTGCTAGAAGAATCTTGCAGTCTATCAGACGTCACTTAGGGTCTTTTTCCATGCACCCCTTCAAATGATATTCTGTGCGTTTTTTAAGTTCACACTACCTGGGTATTTTCTTACCTGAGAGGCGTGTCATAATCTTCCTCGTTGACAAAAAGGTTAGTAGTGATCTGGACCATTTTTCCCACTGTTCCACAATCCACAAATGATTGGGCAGATTTTACATTGAAAGTGCAGTAAAATAGAGTGATTGCAGCAAGCTGGCTGGAAAACAGCGAGTGCTGTGCACAACCTAATGGGCAACCCCGGCATGCGCAATGTATCACAAATAGAAACTTGTCAATCAGTTGTGGTGTTTTGGATACTAGCTCCTGTGTACTGGGATCTTGTTCCACCAAACTAGGTAAATAATAACAACATGTCAATAACATTATACCTAAGATTAAATGATATTAATACGGCGATAGTCTGATATACTGAAGTATAACTAATGCTGTTTGTATTGCTATTGGCAAACCCAGGCAGTTTCTTTTTTTAAATATATTGTCTTGTTTTTGACAGAAGAGGTAAAAAAATTAGTGCTAATTCTAGTTTTTGTTAGTTTATTGTCTGTTCATTTTTATGTAAAATAATCTATCTATAACTATTTAATATTAATTTTGTTCATTAAGAACTTCATTAAGAACATTAAAATGCCATTTTCTATAAATATTAAGGTCTATTCACCCCTTAAAATAGTGGCATTTCATCCTGAACACTCTCAGTGAGACCAAAATCTCTGATGTACATTTGTAAGTTAGCCTGCGAACACAGACATATTTCCGGCTGTCACTTGGTTCTGCCGAAAATAATATTCTTCCTGACCCTGTCAAACAGAAATCCCTTCCCCACAGGCTAAAGAGTAGAAAGGGTAGTAAAAATGCAAAAACATGTACACAAGAGGAAAGTAAATAAAATTATGACAAGGCAAGATTTTCATCTTGTGCACTTGTTTACCACACAATGATTAACTAATGGAAGTAATAAGCCCTAAACTCCCATTGAACAAGATCCGTTATCCATAAAAATGACTGCACTTCAGGAATCAACCTTGACTCGGTGAACATGTGATTTGAAGAAAACTGTTTGGAAAGAAGTAATAAAGCCAGGAGTGAAGAAGCAGTCTATGGGCTAACATTCTCATTTTTTAAATTATACACTCACCCTCCAAAGCATCCTATAGCTGCTTCATTTACACGAACAACCATTAAGTCCAGAGGATGGAAGTTCAAAGCATAATCTTCAACTGGAAAGGGGTATGGAAGCAAGAGGGCATCAATCACCAGGGGAAGAACTCTTTTTGACAAGACAAACTCTCCATCTTGCGGCCTCTCAGAGAAGGACCACAAAAGGTTTAAACAGTATTGTTGAAGAATTAGTAGTGCCCGATTTAGGCGCCACTTGCGTAGTTCTAGACCATCTTCCCTTATGATTTCTTGCCGCTGTCTGTTGATCAAAACAGAAGCAGTAATTTTGACCGTTTCTAGACTCCTGACAACAAGCAGCCGGAACAAACTAAATTATCTAAGATAAAATATATGAAAATTTTTTGCAGTACTTACATACATGTTCCTTAATACTGTACTAGAAGTCCTCTGTACATTGCTATACACTCTGCACGCTTAATGAATGCATATAATTTAATTAATTATTCATGACTCTTCTTGAATTCTCCATTTATTTTGCAAGGCTAAGAAAGTCTCCCAGTGGGGACTCTCATGTAAAAAGGAAGGGGTGCTTGTTGTACCTTTTAGGGGTGAAAAAAGGCTGCAGGTTTGGTACTTCTTAGGGTATTCAGCTTCAAAAGGTCCACAATGGGAGTTTTTGCAGTACCTTTTAGGGAATTGAGCCAAAAAAATGAGGGTCAGTTAATGTACTGTTTTAGAATTGGCGCATGCAGAACTATCACACTGTCCCTACCCCTCTTTCACTGATAAATTTATTGACTACAGCAGTTGGATAATAACTCTCTTATTAGATGTTTTGGTGTGTAGTATTGCTGCATATTTTTACCCGTTGTTTGTATTTTGACTTGCCCTACGGGCTCGTCAAAATACGGCACAAATCGTAAAAATATACAGCATTACTACATATCAAAACATCTAATAAGATATATTTACTTTAATCCCAGGGGGGGTCACAGATTGTGACCCTCCTCCCCTCCCCTCCCTCCCATCCCCTTAAAATACATATGTGGAATGACCTTTGATCCTCCATAATTCCCATCAGCAATGCAATATCGTAAAGTGAGAACTTTGAAATGTAAATGAGCACAGTGGCAAATATTGCCAATGTTTATCTGCCTCTTGTAATAAGAATATTCTTTGTTTCGATGGGAGTGGTAAATATTAAAAGTAACTTACTTGATCGAATACAGCTGCCGTGAAAATTTGAACACCTCCAAGAAAGTCTCAAACCCACCCTCTTGTACGAAAAAGTGCCTCTGGGCAACGGACTTCAAGCATTTCCACGGATGAAAGAAATCGTTTGTGATGTTCTCCACTGCAGACACTACCGAGTGAAAGAACTGCCAAAGGCCACGATAATCGTTTTCTATTCGCTGTAGTCCAGGCAGCCGTCTTTCGAGCTTTTCTACAATTTCTTTAGCGGTCATCTTCAACGCATTCAATTCTTTTCTCATCCCCTTGATATCCGCTGCAGCAAGAAAATACAGCTCAAAACAGTCACCTTCCCGAAAATACAATCTGCACAGGGGGATGTTGTCATCTGTTAACATCCGTCCCTGGTACGAAAGGCGTTGATCGCAAACTGGTGCTTGGATGGTATCTTGAATGGCCAGCTTTACATCTCCGATGCTCGTCGTATCAATATTAGGGAATGTCAGTTTGACTCTTCCAGTTTCACCTTGATATTCACAGCTGTAGTTCACGAACACGTCCATCACTTAGTTAGCTAGGTCGCCGAAGGACTTCGACGAAGTTATACACACTCGGTATAAAGCGCACTAAATTTTGGGCATTCGAACTGTTGGCACTGAATGATGCTAAGCTTTAAAAGATTAGCAGCTGATATCAGACCGGCAAATTTTTCCGCAATTTTCCGCTAGGGGCGCGATTCCCATCGTGCATTCCAACAAAATCTTAGTGCAACGTCACGCGTCGCAACGCTACTCTACACTGAGATGGGTTGCGTGACGTTCCAAGAAAGGGGAGCCGATATTCAATCATTACTGAAGCAGACCCAGCCCTAAATTTTAACCAGTGTTGGTCTGTTGCTGAGAGAGACCCTTTCCCGAGAGCGCAGGGTTGCGTGACAGAGAGGGGGCCAGAACTGGTCAAGGAGCACAACACGAAGTTCTCTTCTTCTTACCCCTCTCAGTTTTTCTTCTCTACTCCCCGCCACCCCCGCCCCTCGCTTCACTCGTGCTCCTCTCTAGAGACACAAGTTTCTTGTCGCGCATAAAGAGAAACAAAAGACAACGATAGCAACTTGAAGAAGCATTTAATGACAAGCCAGACTATTCCCACTACCACAAGCTGTAGGTTTAAATTGTTCACAAGCCGCTTTTAACGTTGTTTTCTAACGCCAGAGCCAACACACGTTAAACTTAACGACCGCACTAGTCACATAAGCGCATCACAGAGAACCACTTTTTATTAATAGTGCAACCTTAGATTCACAACCTTAGATTGGATCTGAATTCTTTTTATCATACACCATGTCCATTACTGAGCCGTCTCGCCACCAGTCATTTGGCTGGTCACGCTAGGGACCGCCCAAACAACGAAAAAATTCAGCCCGTTCCACAAGGTTTGTAATTCGTATTCCGCGGTTGCACAGTATAACACGTCGCCTCGGGAAAATCTCCTACAGTAAAACCGTTTAAGGCGAGGAAAACCATTATTGCCCTAAAACAAAAACGAAACGAAAATTATCTCCGCCGCTTTCAAAATATGTTAAAAAGTCAATCGCGCTACAAACGTAATCGAGCGAGAAAAGCAGGCAAAAAACTTCGCAAAGTTTATTTTATAAGGGCTACATTCTCTTACTTTAGACACGTAGTTGTTGACAGTTTATTGGTATTGTTGTAAAGAGTAATTAAGTTGTTTGTTTATCACTCTAGGTCAGATATGGTTAAAGACACAGCCTTTGTGCGGAGACAGTTCCTTGAAGTGTCTTCACTGTCATAACGGTATCTATGAAGTGACTTGCTTAGCGAATCTGCAAGATTCCTGCCTCGTAGAGCTTCTGTATTCTGCTTCGAATTTCGGGATTTTTCAGATGTCTAAAAGAAACAAAACCAAAAATAATTAATTACGGAAAGTACATAAAAAAAATTGTACAAACTCCTCGCGTTTTGAAGAGAAGAACGACAGATACCAAGGAGAAAAGAAACGGCAATATGGAGCAAACCATTTAAATACCCCCCGCGGGAACTTCCATAAAAGAAAGGACGGGGGGTGCTCGTCGGAAATTTGAAAATAATCCCTAAGAGGTACCAAGATCCTGTTTTTTGGGTGGGGCTTGAAATGTTTTTCACCTCAAAGAGGTACCGATTCTAAAACAACACATTATCTCGTGTCATAGTTTTTCGGCTCGATACCGTAAAGGGCACATCAAAAGCTCACGCTGTGGACCTTTTGAGGCTGGACACACAATGAGGTACCAAAACCGCTCTTTTAACCCCTAAAAGGNCCCCCCCCAACCCGGGTCTTATACGTAAAGCCATCGAGGAAACGTTTCAAGAGGCTCTGTTTGCTACGTGGTCCTAATTTTCAAGTCTGTGGATGAAAGTCTTGTGGCTGACCATCCAAATGAAACCTATATACTGACCAAGACTTTCATATCCTGCAGAAGATTGCGCTTATCAAAACCCCTGCGGTGCAGTAACCATTCAAATACTCACTCCTGAGCGGCTTTGGGGTCTTCCTGCATTTGATCGAGTATAATTTTCATTGCTGGGTCTGTAAGAATCTCCTGTTCGAACAACAAACAAAGAATTGTTATGTTTACCGTTGATCAAGTTTCAATAATATAAAGTTAGCACAGTTCATAAAAAGTCTTTTTTTAATTATTATTGTCACGTCAGTTCATTATACCTGTATTTCGGGATCAGCATTCGCCCGCGCTCTGATTTCCTCAGGGTCTGTTGGCTGTTCAGACATCGCCATGAAACATGCTCTTTTACCTTCAGTGGCTTCCTGGAAATTGAAAAAGGGTATAAGACATTATGAGAGGTATAAGACATTATAAAAGGTATAAGAGATTATAAGAGGTACTAAGGTGCAAACATGAGGAACTAAAAATAAGCTTTTACCTTGTTTGCGGGATCCAGCTCCAGAGCTTTCTGATAGGTTTTCTGAGCATCTGTGAATCTCTTCATCGCAAACAAGGCACCGCCTTTCCTTGTATAACCTTTGACTATTTGCAATAAAACAGAATTAAATCAAAATGAAGCAAGCTTTTCCCGCAAGAGCAGTGTTTCACAGCTTAAAAAGGTAGAAGTAGCCAGCCGGCGAATAGCCGAGAAACTAAGACTGAGGCCAGAGAAAGAAGAAAGCATAAAAATCTATTAGCCAATGAAATACAGCCTCGAGAGCCTTGAAATGGTTTTTTGGTGACTTGTATGTACTTGCGAGGAAACTTGCGAGTCTGTTTGGTAACCCAACACAAGTATCTATGCAAGTTCAACTTGCGGCTTCTTGCAACTACTTGTGAGTCTGTTTGGCTCTGCTTTAAACATACGGTACCATTCACTTTGAAAGCCGGTTTCACCAAGTTTTAAAGTTTCGCATTCACCTTGATTAAATGACAATTTTCAGAGACCTTGTTCTGTAGTTGGATTGTATAATAAAAACTGGAATCTCTTCCAAGCACTCCCACAAATAATACTGCCAAAAAACCGCACTTGTAGTTTTTCATCAAAGAATTAATTGCGCTAAAAATTCAGTAACAGACATGGGTAAATGAAAATTATGGCAAACTAACCAAATGTGGGGTCCAATTTGATACACATGTCACAGTCCTAAAATGGAGCAAAATTAAAATTAAAGATGAAAAATAAAATATAACTCATAATTAACACATCGATTAACGGGGTTTTCTTATAAGAAAATTTACTCATGGCATTCACTGGGACAAGAAAGGCTGGCCATAATAACGAGGTGAATGTATTAACCAGGTAATCTTAAGCCAAGGTTTTACTGTATATGCCAAGTGTTGCTTGTAAAACTCAACTCTCTTTTCGAACAATTTTTCTTACATTTTCAGACTGAAAATCTAAGCTCCCGGTGTACACATAGCATCACTGATCAGCCACCAGGTTCATTCAGTCCCTGCATGTGGGAGCCTGTAGCATTCAAGTCCTCTTAGCCTTCACTGCACTGTGATGCAGTAGAACCCCGCCTTACAGGCATTTTTGTAATACAGCCACATTTTACTGTCCATGAGACACGTTTGAACCTCCTGTAAGGAGACAATCATGCTGCCGGCGACACACAGACAATAAGGGGATTCACACTGACGTCATTGT